GAAGAATCATAGCAAGGCTCTTAGAATGAAATGGTTATGGAAGTACTCTCAAGAACCCCAATCTTTATGGGGCAAAGTGATCAAAGCAAAGTATGGTGAGGAAAATAACTGGGTGTCAAAAAAAGTCAGAACATCATATGGAGTAAGTGTGTGGAAATCCATCAGAGAACTTTGGCCTATAATGAAGAATCACTCCTCCATAAGAGTGAACAACGGAAGGAACACATCATTCTGGAATAATAATTGGTTAGGAAACGGAAGCTTAAAGGAAAGATACCCCGACATGTTTGGTTTAGCACAAAACCAGCATAAGACAGTAGCTAATATGAGGAGTCATCAAGGATGGGAAATCGCTCTAAGAAGACAGTTGAATGACTGGGAGATAACAAGATTAGCTGACCTTTACAAAGAGCTGGAAGCATTTAAAGGATTACAGGAAGGTTTTGATTCACTTTGGTGGATGAGACACAACAGAGAGGTATACCGGGTGAAGGATGCATATAAGATTTTGAATCATAATAATCAACAGGTGGACCCATGGCCTTGGAAACATATTTGGAAGACAAAGATTCCATACAAGGTAGCTTGCTTCACTTGGCTACTGGTAAAAGAGGCGGTATTAACCCAGGATAATCTCATAAAAAGGGGAATTTCTCTGTGCTCAAGATGTTTTCTGTGCGGGAAAAATGCTGAAACTGTCACACATTTGTTTCTACATTGCAAGATTATAGACCAACTATGGAAAATCTTTATTAGTCTTAAGGGTATTTCATGGTCAATGCCATACAGGCTTAAAGATGTCCTTTATAGCTGGGAAGAAGCTGGAGCTGAAGCAACTAGTAGAGATAGATGGAGGATTGTCCCGGCTTTTATCTAGTGGACAGTTTGGAGGGAAAGGAACGCTAGATGTTTTTGAAGATAGAAGCAATCCAGTGCAGAAGATCAAACTCAATTGTATTCTTCTTTTTTGTTTTTGGTGCAAACAGATTTACATAGAAGATACATTGACAATCATAGACATACTAGGATCTTGCTAGGTCTCGAATTAGAACATCTACTAATCCTCTCCATGTAAATTTGGTTTTCAGTGCAACCTATGCACTGATGTTTTTAATATATACAATAGTTACCAATTCGAAAATAAGTTATATATATCCTTCGTTTCACTTTCTTAGTATTCATACCCCTACCGTTATACTTGTGGGTTAAAGATACCCCTCACTCGTTAAATCCCTCCTCAAAACTTAAAAATGACATGTGGCACGCCCTGGTTGCACTAAAATAACCCGCCCCATTTTTTAATAAACCCCACTTGATCCAACTTATTTACCCACCCGGCCAACATTGTCCGAATCCCCCGTTCTTAAATCATTCTCACCCCCTTATTATCTTTGTTTTATTTTAGTGATGATTCAGAATAACAATAGCAACATCTAATACAAAGTGCGCTGTTTACTCCTTAATGAACTCTTCTTCTGCTGTTGCTGATGATAAAGAAGATTCTCTTGATTTTCCTCTTTTTTGTTTTCACTACCCATTAGTACTCTTATTAAAGCTTCGGTATTGTCCTTTTGATGACAAGAAAGCCCACAATGTTTTTTTTGGGTTTGTGATGCTCTAATGTGGAATGCTTTTCAATACCTTCAAAAGCAGAAAGACTTCAGAAATTTGAATCTAAATATATTTTTCGTTGTTGGATTTAATTTTTTTTTTAGTTCAAGAAAAATCCAAAAATAAATTTTATAAATTTCTACTTATGAAATTATGAGTTTGTAAGCGATGTTCTCGTGTAGTTTAATTCTCATATTTCTCATCCATCATTCTTTGGGATAAGTTTAAATTCTTTTTTTTCTTCTTTTTTTGTGAATAAGTTGAAGTATTAGTATTTTGAAATACAACAAATTACTTCCAATTTCTTTTTCTCCAAAAACAAGTGCATCATTTGCTGCAATAAGGGAATTCGGATGGAGGTGGGTAAAGAAGCTGGGTTGGGTGTGATTTATAAAATAGAATAAAAATGTTGCAGGTTATTTTAGTGCAACCAGAGGCGTGCCACATGTAGTTTTTAAGTTTTGTAGAGGGATTTAAGTCATTTAACGGGTGGGGGGTATTTTGAACCCACAAGTGTAATGGTAGGAGTATGAATATTAAGAAAGTGAAACGGAGGGTATATATAACTTATTTTCGATATTAAAAGGGTATATATGACCCTTTACCGAATAAAGAAAGTCCCAAGGGCAGAATGACTGTCTAACTCCCCCAAATACTAGGGTACTGCAAACAAATTATATTGCAAGAAATGTGACCGTTTTGAGTATTCCGTTTCTCACAGATATTCACCATAATCTCTGTTGCCTTAATATATTTAAACATTGTAGCTTTATAGTCTAGTCAAACGTGCCTTTCAGATACAAGCTTCAAGTGTGTCCATTAGAGATGGAAACTATTTTTGATAGAATGATCATGTTTAAAGTGGGTGGTTGTTAAGTGCTCCTGTCCAACATTGAGGCATGTGATGAAGTATATGCTGTTAAGCTTACCGACAATGAGAATCTTATAAAGCAATATAATCATTCTCCGCGACAAGATACATTCACTGGGTGGTGGTTACTGACATATCTTATAACATATTGAAATTGCAGGGTGATGCTAATAAAAATTATTATCAAGTAGAATTTTCAGTGATGTTAATTATTTTTGTTTAATAGGATCCAATTTAATAAGTCATATATGGAGAAGGGATTCAGGATGATTTCGACGCTCACTTTCAATCTCTTTTGAAGATAATCACTTCAATTAATTAAATAATTGCCATTCTAAATTCTCAGTAACAATATGGTTGTGCTCATTTTTTGAGTGTGGATGATCAGCAACTTATATGAGGTGCAGGAAAGCTCCATCTTAAGCCAAATGAGAATTAATATCTACAGTAATTCATAGGATGGCAGGTGCTGGCTTAGTCGTATTCCCTGATGATTCCAGAGTATAAACTTAAAAAGTAGAACACCCATGCTCTGGTAGTGGATGAATGCTTCATATGTAAGAAAAATCTTTTCTTTTTTCTTTTCAGATGACGTTAGTGTTCAAGTCGGCCTGGAGAGCTGCATCTTGACTAGTTCAGTTGCCAATTCGCTGCAGCCTACAATCACTGGTATAATGAGAACCTGCTCATGGAAGTTGGAGTAGATGGGCTTACACCAAGTGTTGTGGCTGGATTTAAGAATTCTATTCTTATTCTTCTTGTGTCCAAGTATTCCCTATTGCCCATCAATTTTCAATAATCTGTCTTTATCCCATAGTAGTCTGCTGCCCTTTCCAGAGATTGGACCTGCATAAACCAGTGGTTCAGTATCATTATGTGTCGAAAGTCATCCTTTTGCGATTCATTTATCAATTTAAGTTAAAAGTTGTATACATCTGAATGAACAGATAACTGTTGGCCTGGATGCATGTGAAGTAACTTCACCTGATCTTCTTCCATGGTGATTCTAACTATGATATGATTTTGTTAGTACAATGGTGACCGAGCTGCAATACAAGAATACAGCAAGAAGTAAAAAAAATGACGAGTTCATGTATGTTCTATATTTGAGAAGGATATCAGTAAAAAAAGCAACACACTTGAGGCTTTAAGTTCTAAAAGCTGAACGTAAATTTTGAAGGTATCCAACTTTATCCGAGTGGCTGAGATGTTCAGAGGTCCAATATTCTTCTCTTTTTTTCCCACAAGCAAGAACATCAAGGGACGTCAAGCCTTTTCTAAATTGGCATAAATTTTTACCTGAGGAGTTCTCCGGTTCCTTTGTTCTTTTATGTAATTATTTAATTCTTGCGGTGATGGTTGGGGGTTTGGCAATTGGCATTCAACTGTACCTTAAATAACCAAAGTGTAATACATGAAGTAGGAGATGTGGTGCCTTACTCTCTCAATGGGTATAATATAATAGATTACGAAGCATTAGAAAGTTAGTAACTGAAAGTTTCATAACAAAATCTGATGCTTGTGCGGTGTTTCTTACTAAGAAGTCAGGCGTCTTTATCTTCTTCAGCGTGAAGAGCACTCTAACTTCTCCTTGGCACGTGCTCAGTCTTGAATAGCATGGCCAAATCTGGTATTGTGGTTTGCCCATTTTACGAAAACATTTGTTACGCAAATTGTCTCCCCTAAATCAACGAACAACGTTTTCATTTCCTTGCCTACTATCAAAGCAATCATCATGAAGGTTATATGACTTCTTCAACATGTTAATAATAGGCGTAAAATCCAGTTGAAGAATTTCATTGGCAAATCCTTGAAATGTACTAGTTATCTCAATATTCCGGTTGGCTACTGTTATTGCTGCATTCACCTCTTTCATATTCCGGTATTTACTTCCTTTATTGCACACTGAAGCTAACTTAAATTTCAACGCATTTGTTTCGGTTTGATTTTTTTAGGAAGGAGGGAGGACGAGTAATCAGAGGCGGATCTAGGAGTTTTATAACATGGGTGCACTACTAAAGAAAGGAGAAAAAAATATTAAGTGGGAATTGATCCCTAGTACTCTAGGTAAATCACTCAGCATTTAACCTAGTGCATCATGAAGCCTCTTTGGTGCATGGGTATCATCATAGATCAATTTTAGAAAATATGTACATAAAAAAAATAGTTTGACGGAGAGATCATGGATTCACGTACCCATATATTCCGCTCATGCGAGTAATGAGATCCAACAACACAAGTAGTTTGAGTCTATTGCTTATTTCATTTGATTTTCCTCTGGACCACGGTGCAAGACAGCAAGAGTAATGCGAATTAGCTTGATCAGTAATTGGAAATGCTTTAAGGAAGAAGGGGTGTCGTTTTCTTTTCGCTTAAAAAAAATTACAAGAGAGAGAGCACATTCAACATGCTTATTCTCATTTGAAGCTAGCTGGCTGGTATTCTAAGGCTACAGGTTGCTCGTCTAGGAGAGCAAACCAATAAAAGATATTATCACAAGTTGACATCATGCGAGCAATTGCCAGAGATGGGCAACTTACGATAAACATTAGAATAGATATACACATACACACGCATTACACCGGAAAAATATCCACGGTCACTTTCAGTAGAGGTTGTCCTTAATTCCCGCAATGAACATTCTCAGTTCTCTGGCTCTCCTTATATGTTCAGGGGAAAACATATCATTTTCTGAATCACTAAGCTCAACTACATTAATGCATTCAACGTTGTCATCTTGGTGTTTAGATTTCCCAGAAGCATGCCGCACTGGTGGAGGACTTGTGAGATCAATTACTTCAGCTTTAGATAAAGCTGGTAAAATGTCGTCCTCTCGGCAATAAGCTCTCCCAGAAGCAAAACCCTTGTTGACACTGTTGCCATTCCACGTACTATGTGTCTGTATGCTTGAGTCTACATGAATTTGAGCAATGCTTTCATCATCCCCTGATACTGATCCACATAAAACTGTGGCATCGTCAGCGAGAGAGCTTTCTTGATCAACCTCAAGCAAGAGGTCTTCGAGTTTTTGATCTATCTGACCCAATGGTGGCGTTTTCTCTAGTCTAGGTCGTCTTGGTCTAGTATTATTTCTTTTCTTTCCTTGAGCTCGTCTTTCCTGGAACTCCAAAATCCTTTCCGGACAAGCCCTGTTGGCAAAGAAGAATAAAAGATTCAATAACATGGATCAACCGATTTTTTCGTCAACAACGAGGAATCTGGTATTTTATTCTTAACTGAGCTTAAAATTACTAAGATACCTGGAATGAATACATTTTATGTCAGCCTTACTGAAAAATAGCCTGAGGTGGCTGCCAAATATTACAAAATTCAAGAGAACTTGCAAACCGACTAATCATCCTCATTGAATTTAATATGTTCTAGTGCAGGGAGACGTCAGCAAGTTCAATCTGGCCTATAAGAATGGCTTGCATTCGAAGCACAAACTAACATGATTTGACCAAAACCGTGTTATAATACACGCACAAGAAACCTTAATAACAGTGATGTCATCCTTCAGTAAACATAATTGAGAGGGAAAAATCTGACACATAACCGGGGTTTACACCAAATCACATTAATTCATCATGATCAAGTGATAAATTGAGGTGAAAAATACGTATTAGTTAATCATGGTTAAGTACTAGAAGCATATGCATAAGTCATCTATACTAGGTGAGGATACGCCTTTTTTCCCTGAGAACAGAATATCATCAAAAAAATATCCCATAAGAAAGATATTAACAAGCTGGACAGAATAACATAAAACAGCACAAACCAACACACTGATCTAAAAGTCACTTCGCCAGAGGGCCTAAGTTGATGATTATGAATTTATAATTAGAAAGAGAGAGTCGTAATGAATTAACTCTTTTTCAAAAACTAAAGTACGAAAAAAAATTGTTGATGGCTTATTCTGAATAAACATGAATAGGTCCTTTTACTACTCTATTTATGCTTAATAAGCGATACCACTCCAGAAATTGGAGATTTTGGTTGTTCCAAAAGGTATGACCGAAATCCATCTTGTATGGCTTCTATTGGGGATCAGACCAAATCTCTTCAATTTGATATGCATAACACACGCTTATTTTTGGAATAGCCTTCTATAAACTCCATTGGCCATCCATGGAATATAGGGGTTTTCCATTCCATATAAATGAACTTCCATGTAAAGACATTTTACAATGACAAGAAAACTATGCTTCTTTAGTTCCTAGAAAAATGTACTTCCTAGTTTTTGCTTGCATTGAGTAGATGGTGTGAGGCTTTGATATGTATTGTGAAATGTCTTGCTATTCATACATAAAAAATTTCAGGTCTTCACAAAAATACCCAAGCAAGATGCAGTTTGTTTCAGATGTCCTTCATCTTTTAAAATGTCGTGTTTGATGCATTAAGTTGTATTTAGGTCAATACTATCACCAACCCATGTGATAACATAGTATGAATTTACATGAGCTGTTGAACCCAAAAAGAGTTCTTGCTCACTCAATCTATTCAGGAGTAAAACAGAATAAGATTTCTATACACTAATTTGTTAAAATACTCTTCGTAATAATATAATCAAAAAAGTTTTCAGTAATTTTCATTACCATCTGAAACCAGTTTCAAAATGGTTCAGGCAAATGGTTATTTTCCTTTTGCTTTTGATGATGTATAAAAACTGATCTTACTGTAAATTAGTAGCCCCTTAAATTGTTAGAATTAATTCATGTATAGTGTACCATATTGGCATAGAAGGCTTTAGGTATATGTAAACATTGGATATAAATAGGGTTATTGTAAAACACTTAAAGTATATCAATAATATATTTTCCCGTGCATTCTCACATGATATCAGAGCAACTAGTGAGAAATCCCCACTGTGCAGTAACCGGCGAGTTCGGGACAGTCACCGTGCCTTTTTTCCGGTGAGTTTCAGTTTTTTTTTTTTTTTTATGAAAAGTAACACCATCAGTAGGTGCGGAATTCTCAGGCGACCAAACCCCAGAAAACCACACCAGCAGAACCCCAATCACACGCCCTCACACGCCTCCAGAACTTTTGAAGCCGAGCCGGTGGCGCGTCAGACCCACACGTCGGCGCATGACCCTTGTTCAGGCGATTTTTTTGAAAAATATTCTTCAGAACAATTTTATCGCCTAGTAATTCTGACCAGGCCCATACTGTTTTCTTTTTATTCCAAGCACTTTGAGATTTTTTCGGCGACTACACTGATTTTCCGGCAGCTACAGTAATTTTTCCGGCATATACAGTGTGTCCATCTGTTTCAGCGAGTGACAGTTGATTCTTTCTGTTATTTGGTGATAATTTGCTAGACCTTTGTTCAATCCAACGATGTCTTTGGGAGTTGATGTTTTTGGATCTAAAAATACGGGCTCTGGAAGTTCGATGTTGTGACTACCTCCGAACCTTTAATGGGAAGTTCAAACTACTTAGCTTGGTCTTCATCTGTCGAGTTGTGGTGTAAAGGTCAATGTGTTTAAGATCATTTAATCAAAAAGTCTAGAGAAAGAGATGAAAAACCCAAAGCACTTTGGGAGAAGATCGATGCTTAATTATGTAGTACCCTGTGGCGATCTATTGATTCCAAGTTGATGCCCTTATTTCGTCCATTCCAGACATGTTATTTGGTTTGGAAAAAGGCTCGCACTTTATACACTAATGACATATCTCGTTTCTATGATATAATATCACGGACGACAAATTTAAAGAAACAGGAATTAGATATGTCTACTTACTTGGAACAAGTACATACAACCATGGAGGAATTTGAGAAGTTGATGCCAGTTTCTACTAGTGTCGAAAAGCAACAAGAGCAACGACAGAAGATGTTTCTATTTTTTACCCTCGCTGGACTTCCTAATGACCTTGATTTAGTGCGCGACCAGATTTTGGCTAGTCCGACTGTCCCCATAGTTGATGAACTCGATTACCCAATTACTTCGCGTTGCAGATAGCTGACTCCTCTGTTCTTGCATCCCAGACAGTGGAAAATCGAGCACCTCAGACTTTGGAGAATAGACGAGGAGGAGGTCGTTTTGGAAGAATTCAACCAAAGTATTCTTATTGTAACAAGCTTGGGCACACTCGTGAGGTGTGTTACTCTTTGCATGGTCGACCACCTAGAAATGCTCGTGTTGCTCAGATTGAGACTGCAGGTAACCAGGGATTTTCTTTATCCGAAGGGGAGTATAATGAGTTTCTTCAGTATCGAGCAACTAAGCAAACACCTCCACAAGTAGCCTTTGTCGATCAAACTAATACTAATGATGTCGGTAATTTCTTTGCTTGTATTTCCCGGTCTACTACTCTTGGACCATGGGTCATGGACTCAGGCACCTCTGATCATATTTCTGGTAATAAGTCACTTCTGTCAAATATTGTTTATTCACAATCTCTTCCCAATATTACACTAGCCAGTGGAGTCCAAACAAAAGCAAAAGGAGTTGGACAAGCTAATCCCCTGCCCTCTGTGACTTTAGATTATTTTCTTTATATCCTTGGTTGTCTTTTTAATCTTGCATCTGTTAGTCGTTTGACTCGTGCCCTCCAGAGTGGTATATATTTTATTGATGATTTTTTTTGTTACAGGGCGTGAATCACAAGGCTTTTACTATCTTAACTCACTCAATCCCTCCACATCATGTCCAGCTACAGATCCTCCGGACCAAATTCACAGACGTTAGGACATCCAAGTTTATCCAAGCTTCAGAAGATGGTGCCTAATATGTCTAGTTTGTCTACATTAGATTGTGAATCGAGTCAACTTGGGAAACCTATTCAATCTACATTTTCACGTAGTGCTGAGAGACGTGCAGAGTCTGTTTTTTCTTTAGTTCATTCTGATATATCATATATGGGATCCTAGTAGAGCCAGCTCAACCTTAGGATTTCGTTATTATGTTAGTCTCATCAATGATTACTCAAGATGTACTTGGATTTTCCTAATAAAATCGTTCTGAGTTGTTCTCAATATTCCATAGTTTTTGTGCTTAAATTAAAACCTTGGTGTTTCTTTTCACACTTTTCATAGTGATAATGCCTTAGAATATTTATCCTCTCAGTCTCAAAAGTTTATGATTTCTCAAGGAATTATCTACCAGACATCTTATCAGTATACTCCTCAACAGAATAGGGCAGCAGAAAGAAAGAATAGGCATCTTGAAACTGCTCGCAAGCCTCTCATTCAATCCCATGCTCCGCTGCGTTTCTGGAGCGAAGCAGTTCTTACAGCTTGTCATCTTCCACTAAAAATCAGATTCCATGTTTAGTACTTTTCCATATGACACCTTTGTACTCTCTTCCTCCTTCTGTTTTTTGGAGTACATGTTTTGTTCATGACTTAGCTCCCGAAAAAGATAAATTAACTCCTCGTGCTCTCAAGTGTGTCTTCCTTGGCTATTCTCGGGTTCAAAGGGGTATCGTTGTTACTCACCCGATCTTTGTATATGTCAGCCGATGTCACGTTCTTTCAGTCTCAACCTTACTTTACTTCATCTAATCGTCTTGATATATCTTAGGCCTTATATGTACCTACTTGTGAGGAATCTATTGTTCCTCCTCTTTCATCCCCATCGACGTCCACAATACCATCATAGCCACTCCTACCTACAGACTTCTGAGGAGTCTAGTTGCTCCTCCTACATCTCCAACCACAAGGCCATCACTCTTGACTTATCATCGTCGTCCACGTCCAGCATCAGACCCAAATAATTCACGTCCTGCATAAGCTTTTGCACCTACTACGGACTTGTTTCCTTCTAGTCCACCAATTGCACTTCAGAAAGGTGTACGATCCACACTTAATCCTAACCTCCATTATGTTGGTTTAAGTTATCACCGTTTGTCATCACCCCATTATGCTTTTGTATCATCTTTGTCCATTGTTTCTATTCCTAAGTATACAGGCGAGACAATATCTCATCCAAGATGGCAACAGGCTATAATTGACGAGATGTCTGCTTTACATACGAGTGGTACTTGAGAGCTTGTTCCTCTTCCTTCAAGTATGTCTATTGTTGGTTGTCGTTGGGTTTATGCTATCAAAATAGGCCCGGATGGCCAGGTTGATCGGCTTAAAGCTCGTCTGGTTGCAAAAGGATATACTCAGATATTTGGGATTGATTTTAGTGACACTTTCTCTCCCGTGGCTAAAGTCGCATTTGTTCACCTTTTTCTATCCATGGTTGTTTGTCATTGGCCTCTTTATCAGTTTGACATTAAGGATGACTTTCTCCACAGTGATCTTGAGGATGAAGTTTATATGGAGCAACCACCTAGTTTTGTTGCTCAGGGGAGTCTAGCGGTCTTGTATGTCGATTACGCATGTCACTTTATGGTTTGAAACAATCTCTTCGAGCCTGGTTTGGCAAGTTCAACACAATTATCCAGTAGTTCAGCACGACTCGTAGTGAAGCTGATCACTCAGTGTTTTATCGGCTTTCTGCTTCTAATCTATGTATTTATCAGGTGGTTTATATTGATGATATTGTTATTATTGGCAATGATCAGGGTGACATTATTAGTCTGAAACGACATCTCTTTTAGCACTTTTAGACTAAGGATCTCGGCAGATTGAAGTACTTTCTAGATATTGAGGTCGCGCAGTCTAGTTCAGGTATTGTTATTTCACAAAGAAAGTATGATTTAGACATTCTTGAGGAGACATGAATGATAGGTGTTCAGGTATTGTTATTTCACAAAGAAAGTATGATTTAGACATTCTTGAGGAGACATAAATGATGGGTTGCAGACCTGATGACACTCCTATGGATTCGAATGCTAAGCTTCTGCCAGGACAGGGGAGCCTCTTAGCGATCCTGCAAGATATAGGCGGTTGGTTGGCAAATGGAATTATCTCACGGTCACTAGTCCTGACATTTCATTTCCTGTGAGTGTTGTAAGTCAGTTTATGGACTCTCCCTGCAATAGTCATTGGGATGCATTTGTTCGCATTCTTCGGTATATAAAATCAGCTCCAAAAAAGGTTCGAGGATCAAGGCCATGAGCATATTGTTGGATACACAGATGCTGATTGGGCAAGATCACCTTCTAATAGACGTTCCACATCTGGATATTGTGTTTTAGTAGGAGGTAATTTGGTCTCTTAGAAAAGTAAGAAACATAATGTAGTTGCTCGATCTAGAACTGAAGCAGATATCGAGCCATGGCTCTTGCGACATGTGAGCTAGTTTGGGTTAAACAGTTGCTAAAAAAATTAAAATTTGGAGAAATCAGTCAGATGGAACTTGTGCGTGATAATCAAGCTGCCCTTCACATTGCATCAAATCCAATGTTCAATGAGCAGACCAAACACATTGAGATTGACTATTACTTCATCATAGATAAGATTATCTCGGGAGATATTGGTATAAAGTTTGTGAAATCAAATGATCAACTTGCAGATATTTTCATCAAGTCCCTCACCGGCCCTCGTATTAGTTATATATGTAACAATCTCGGTACATATAATTTATATGCACCAGCGTGAGGGGGAGTATTATAATTAGTTCATGTATAGTGTCCCACATTGGTATAAAAGGCTTTAGGTATATGTAAACATTGTATACAAATAGGGCTATTGTAAAACACTTAAAGAACATCAATAATATATTTTCCCCTGCTCTCTCACATAAATCATTAGAACTCTGTAAGTCATCAAGTTAATAGTTGACATACCTCTGAACGAGATCAGCTGGTACTATAGAGGTTTCAAGTCCATCCATTTCTTCCCAAGATACCTCAAAGCAATCTACTCCTTGAACTTTCCTCGGCTTTATAATTCGAGATAAAGGACACTTTATTGGCATCTGTGCATGTTCGGATCTTAGAAATCATTTCCAGAAGCAAACTAGGATAAAATGAAATATAATGCAATAGAAAAAAAATTCCGACAAAATTATCACAATGATATTAAGATAACAATAACTCAAGGCTGATGTGCAGCCCGCAACATACCAAACTTCTTTCTCACGGATAAAGCAGACATCACAAACTGTTCACACATTTAAGACATCTAATTTTCATATGGCACAAATGTCAGGCCCCTATAGTGATGAGTCCATAAAATTGTTATTCTATTTACAAAGTCTTTTGGATATGCAATCTCTTTTCTTAATTAAGATGTGAAACGTCTTCTGCAGTCATATTACTTTGATTTCTCCTTTCAGCAATATTACATTACATTCAAGTCCGTTATGGCGTTAAATGTGCAACCCCAACTCTCAAATTGAGTGAGAGAATGTTTTCCAAATCATGTACTGTTTTATTTTATATTCTCCATTTTGGCGCTCATGTCACAAAGTAGCAAACTTATCCAGAATGCTAGAGCAAGAAAACTCGGTACATGTTCCCTGAATCACTGGTCTTATCAAAGCAAAAAGAACCATACAACCATCTCTCATCTACTTTCCAGAACCCAACTATTTTGGTTTAGTTAACTGGTACAGATAACAATTTGGATAAGCAATAAAGAAGTGTCATTATCATCTCTGAATAGAGAAGTGCAATGAAGTTATGCAGATGCTACTATCATCACGGGGATCATTCTCAGGTAGACATACGCAGAAGGGCGTAAATGATCTTGATAATAAACTACTGTACGGAAGCAAAGTTCATTTCAGAAACCACTGAGTTTGAAACACAAAAAGTGATATTAAGTAAAATTGAGCATTCATTGTAGTAGGATGAGTATTACCTCATTCAATGGAAGCTGGACTCCCACTTGTGATGCAGTGGACCGCAAGTTGGCGAATCTCCGCAGTTCCCTTTCAGCAATCTTCGGAAGGATATACTCGTCTGAGCCACAAAAAACAGAGGGTTTCAGAGTAGACAAGTTTCTCATTAATTGGACCAACGTCTAAGCTATCGTATACGTAATTCTTTTAACAATTACAAAAAATGAAACTATCAATTTTCAAAAAAAAAAAAAAAAAAAAC